TTAACTCACTCAACGGCTTTGGGCAAGCCTCCATTTCCCAGCCTTCTGATCTCAGTTGTGCTGAAGCACCGCACGGGCATTGATAATGGAACAGGTCTACCGACATTGTTCGGTGCAGCTTCCCAGTTCTGCAAAAGGGATTTCCTTACACCAAGGGAAGAGATAGAAGGAGAGAGAGGATCTAGAGGTGAGATGAGCTTAAACTAGCAGTACATATTTGAGAGTGCAACTAGATTACATTGGCTTGATTTGCAGTCTGATGCAACTGTGTACAGCGACACAAAGACCCCGGTTGTTTCAATGCCAGTGTCCACACTTACCCCTCAAGTCCGATGTGGCTTGATCCACCCTCACAGCATCCCTCACTACTTTGTTACAGCCCTCCTTTTGATCCCCAGCTCTTTTTTTTATCATCTGTTGTCAAGCCACTGGGACTAGTTAAAGGGTTGCCTAGTGATTAGGGGGAAAGGACAGTTTCCCAGAGTACAGTGGTGCCTCGCATAACGAGCACACCGTTGAACGACGAATTCGCATAGCAATCCGTTTTTTGGGATCGCTAATGCGATCACATACTGATGCCTTCTATGGCCGAAAATCGCTTAGCGACGATCGGTAAGCGTTTCGCTTACTGATTTTCGCTTAGCGATTTTTCAAAATCAGCTGTTCGGCGATTCCAAAATGGCTGCCGGAACACCTAAAATGGCCGCGCGCAGCGTTTTCGTGCCCTGCCCTCGCTTACCGAGGGCGCGAAAATGCCTGCGCTATGGAGGAACATCACATAACGGTGAGTTTTGGGCCCATTTGGGCTTTTTTGTTCTGTATAGCGATGTTTTCCCATAGCGACAGTTAACCCGGAACGGATTAACCTCGCTATGCGGGACACCACTGTATTCCGTAGACGTACAAGCATACACATACCATGGAAACATTGTAGTCTGCTGGAGTTCATTGGAGTTGTTTCAATTTTATATTGATTTTTTTAATCTCTTTTTTCCCCCGTGTGGAGATGGTAAAGCACAAGATAGTTTTGTTTTCTTTTGTTTTTTTTAATTTAAAATTCTACAAGACAATTAGGGAGAAAGATCCTGGGGCTGGATGCTCCTGCTGCCTCATTACACCCCAACTTACTTTGTAATTAGGAAACTATCCAAAGTGACACACTTTGGTCCTTTTGTAGAACGAAACAATCAATCACACAGGCAAAATATTGATCAAATCATTGCCATTAGAAAGAAGGAATTGCCCCCATTATTTGAGAGGGGGGAAAAATGCATATTGGAAACTAAAAAGGATGGGCTGATTCGCATTGACTTTTACGTCGTGTGATCACTGAAAACACATTGAATTCACCTGTGCCAATTCTGGAGCACACAGCAAGGTATTTTTCAGGGTAGTCACGTGATAAGTTACTATGCCTTCATACAACACAACCCTCGGTTTTCATATGCAACAATAGGAAAGTAAAGTATTGGCCAACCTTGCAGGATGATTGTAAAGATTCCTGTATGTAAAATGAATGGGATGCTTTCTGGCATTTGAGACATACGAAGAGACATTCTTATTTTCAAAGACAGTGGCAAAAAATGTTTTCCGAATTCAATTCCTATTCCTTCCCCTCCCATGTGTGTCAGTCCACGGTGTGCAGGGATGGGAAATCTGATGGGTGAGGATTCTCACCCATTTACTTTTCTTGAATCACCTCGCTTAACATGTATGAGATACAATGGATTTGATTAAAGCAGGACTTGAGGAAGATTCTTTTTTTTAAGATTACGCTGCCAGAACCTGCGTTCCAAAATTCTGGGACACACGGTCCGTAAGATACAGAATTCATCATTTTTTCAAAATTCTGACTGAAACCTTGTCTGTGGTAAAATGGAGGCAACCAGCCCTTCAGGTGCTGGGATGGAATACTCCCTTGTGCTTTTTAAAAAATGTATTTTAAAAATACTTCAGAAAAATGTGGCACAGCAAAGGGGAAAGCAGCTAGCCTCTAACTAATCCTGAAACGCTAGTTTTCTACTCCATACACCGGCCTACTCTGCAATGAGCTCACCCTCCCTTACTGCTGCCTCTGTAGGCTTTGCAAGTGACACATTCCTGCAACAAAGTGGAGTCATAAGACCCGAAAGACAAACAGGTTCATTGTCACATAAACACGTTCTGGCCTCCTGCCCGCTTTATCACACGATGCTACTTCACAGAAGGGATAAAACGAGTTCCACGTTCATGGAACCTTATGATGCAATAAATTTGTCTACCTCTGGGTGTTTCCTAATAAGGCTATTATTTTAGAACCGACCTATCATTCTTAGAATTTAACATGGGGGTGGTGTTGGAGGGCAGGATTCTGCATTAGTGATAGGTGGGGATTTTATTTCATTCGGTTCTGAGAAGAATATTCCAAAATTCTTCTTATTCAACCTTGAAGTAGTTTGGGTGTTAAAAACATCTCAAAGTGGGAGAAACAGAAGCTGCCCCCTTCTTTCATCGGGGCTCCGTGCTTGGAGGGTGCTGTTCTTAAAAGCCTAGGTTTTGATCTCTGCATATTCAGCCATGTCAGTGCTAAATTATGTTGCCATCTCTATTTTGACAGGCTCTTAAACAGGAAAGGATCTCCAGTCAGAGCAAAAAGATCTTCCCTCACAGAGGAAAGACCATATCACCCTAAGTACACTATCTCCCTCTACTCTCTTGGTAATACTCCAAATGTTGGCTCCAGATAACTGGTTTTGCCTAGTTTGCCATTAAATGTAATCTCCAGAATTTTTTTTTCCACATGGTGCATGCTATGTTTCCAGGTATAACTGATCTGAAAGAAATCAGAGACAATCAATGTGTTTAAAAAAAAAGTCAGTGAGGAATTCACTCCGAAACTGGTGCCTCCATCTATAGAAGTGGAAAGGAAACATTGACTCCACATCCCCTGAGATGAAATATCATACCAACACACTTCCCACTTGCATGGGGACTTTTTAATACAGAATCTAAAGACTTGATGTTTGGCAAGGATTCCTAGTTCTTAGGATGGGTTTTGGACTGTTACCTTTATTGAAATGTGCATGGAAACACAAAGCAAAAAAAATGGAGAGAGTCGTCCATTCTATGGTCCAGATATCACTATCTTCCATTTGTAACTTCCTGTGCCATCCCACCATTCTTGATATCCTTTTTAAAAAGGAAAATATACAAGCCCTCAGGCTGAATCTAATGAGAAACAAGCATATACAGTATTAGATAATTTCCAAAAGACTGAAGTCTCTGTGCTCATGCACGCAAATGCATACATAAGCTTTTTATTGCTAGAAAAAAAAAGGTAAAAAGAATCAAACCCCCTTCTGTCCCCTGACCCCCCAAGTCATGGTGACCCCTTGGCTGCACCTCCCACTCAGTACAGGGCTGCACAGCCCCAGTCCTGCCAGAGGCGTGGGACCCCCATCAGGGGATAACTGTTCCTCCCACAATCCTCTAGTGCACAGGTATTAGCATAAAGTGTCTAGGTGTTCCGCCCACAATTAGGATAAGCTATTAGCATATGCTAATACCTATGCACTAGAGGATTGTGGGAGGAACAGTTATCCCCTGATGGGGGTCCCACAAGGCACCCCAAAACACTGAGGAGCTCTCTTAGCCTCTGGCAGGACTGGGAATATGCAGTCCTGTACTGAGTGGGAGGTGCAGCCAGGGAGTCACCATGACTTGGGGGATTAGTGGACAAAATGGGGTAGAAGGTGCAAGGGCTGTTTAAAATTATATTGTGCAGAAGAAATGCCATGTCATAAAAATGGTTTTTCAAGAAGAAGTTCATTCATTGCACTTGTGTGTGTTGTTAATTTCAATAAATATGGATAACTTAATTGCATAATTTATATTAATGAAAAGATTACATTTATAATTTTTTAGTGATCTCTTTATTCTTTGGTTTTTGGCAATTTTTGCCATTCCCTATGATTTAAATTTGCAGTCATAGTCCTATTGGCAATACTCTAAGATGGTTTCCCCCAATTAAAACACATTAATTACATAAGACCTGCTTTTTTTCCAAAAAAAGTGGGGGGCAGAAAGTGTATGCTGGTGTTTTTCCAGGAGGCAGATACTGAAAAGCCAGCAACATACACTTGAGTCCCAGCAGTATACTGTATACTTTTTTGGGATAAAAAAGTAGGTCTTATGTAATTAATGTGTTCCAATGGGGGGGGGGGGAACTGTCCAAACTTGTCTTGGGAGTCAAGAACCTAAACATCATCTAGCGGAATTTGCCATTTTGGAAACCACAACATTGCTCAAAAAAAAGTCACTCTCTAGCAAATTCATCGTTTTGCGAGCACCACTTGTACCGCGACTTTGCAGTTTTGGAAGAAAAAATCACCCCCCCACACACTAAACAGTAAAACAGGCCCCACTGCACTAGCGATTGCTCATTTACAAAGTGCTGACTTTGCAGTTTGGGAAGAAAAAATCACCCCCCACACACACACTAAACAGTAAAACAGGCCCCGCTGCACTAGCGATTGCTCATTTACAAAGTGAACATAAGATTAGCATATCCAATACTGAGTTTTGTTTCACAAGCAGTTGCAAAAACATAATCTCTGGTGCAATCGTGTAACCTGTGTCAGTGGGCATTTTCCCTCTGCAGACAGGGTCTGCCTAATTTGTATGGTCTGGAGATTGGGAGCTGAAAAGCAGGCAGGCTGGCTTCTTCTTGCCTCCTTTTCTTTGCTTTTCCTCATTGCAAACAGAGTTGGCAGGTTTCAGCTTTGTGTTCCCCATCATCTTGCATGTCCTAGAGCTGCTGCAGTGGTGACTACTACTGTTGGAATCCATACACGGCCCTTCAATGTATCATAGAATCTAGTCTTACGGTTTCTGCCACACCATTATTGTGGAATCATTGTCTGTTGCACCATTTTGCAACTGTTATTGACGGGTCTGCCCTCTGTAACAGGGCCTGTCACAGATTTCAGATTTTGGCCCTTTAAATGTCTGGGAACAGGGTGGCTATTGGCCTGGCAGACCTAATTGCCAGCCACATTGCTTCTGAACATCACTCTGTGCTTTTTCTCCATATTAGTTATTTCCTTCCATATCTGTTGCAAGCTCTTCCCACTGTTGCTTCTATGTTTGGATCAAGCAAGAAGCTCCATCCATTTCATCCTATGCAGGGGAGGTAGCAACAGAGACACTGACTCTCACATGCTTCCTGGTACGTCTTTGAAATACTGTAAATACAGAAAGCATCACAAGACCCTCCTGACGCACAGATGTCTGGAGTGAAGGACACTTGACTCGAACACAAGCAGGTGAGTTTGTGACGTAACTGAGGAGATTAATGTGATCTAGAGATGCAAACAGAGCCAGCTGGAACATGAGGCAAAATTGATGTCTTGTTGGGGGAAAAAAAGGCACGGATATTGAGAAAATGTTCAAGCAGATCTGCCGGTCTGGTTTATATCAACAAGAACAGCGTCAGCAGATTTCCATTCTCATATTTAATGTAACTCTTTTCTCGGCATTTCTGGCTCTGCACTGTTGGGATTTTAGAATGACTAAGGGTAGGAAAATGGGTATGGAACATGCCATTTTCCACGCGTCAACAGATCATTTTGTATATCACAGGGCCAGAATTCCTGGCGATGGTTTCGAAGACTGGGAAAGCACAGAAGGCTTGTGCGTTTCTTCCTCCCACTGGCTTCCCTCCTCCCAATTCAGAGTCCATTCGTTATATCATTTTTAGCCCAATCTGTAGCACCAGACTTGGGTCCAAATTATATGTTACAGATAACCCACCTTTAGGGCTGAAATAATGTTGATGTTCCCAATGTATGATTCTGGCAAATGTTTGGGTCCCAGAAGTCACACTTGCTAACAAAGGACCTGTTATATGTCCTGAAGATCAGTCGCAAACCAAACCAAACTAAACTAATTTGCTCTGTACTTAGGAGATGGGAAAAACTCCCGCTATGACAGTCATACATGATCATTACTTAAGGAATTCCCTCTTTTTAATGTACATTATGGCAGTAGATGTGGGAGAAGGGAATTTGGAATAATATCTAGGGTTAAAACATTTTTAAAAAATAAGACCTCTTGTGCAGTTTCCTGTTTGAAATAGCCCATGGAACTATTATAACCCCACTGAACCAAGATTTTAGAACCTGCATACCATGGTTTGAAGGATTCATTGGGACTATAACATGTCTCCTACAGAAGGGGCTGGAGCCATATGTACTCATTTGTGGAGGAGACTCATTAAAATCAATAAAACATATGTTAGTGGTGATTAACTGAAGTTCAGCTCACAACCACACATGAATTGAAAAAGAATTATATTTTTAATGCTCATGGTGAGGGAGGAAAGTCCTAAAGCAGTGGTGCTAAAATATGTGACCTTCCAGATGATGCTTAGCAATTTCTCCCATAATTTGTCATTCCTGCCAAGTTGAAAGGGACTGGTGTGAACTGGGATCCAGTAACATCTAGAAGAGCCAGAGGAATAATTTGGCAAAAGTCTCGGTTTGGACTACAACTCCCAGAATCCCTGCTAGATAGGGAGCTGTTTCACAACAGGATAATGGAGCCGTGACTACAGTGCTGGACATAGGTATTGTGGTCGAGTGTTTTATCATCAGAACGACATTCTGCCCTTTTGCGATGTCATGAAGCGGTTCAAACTGTCAGCTATTTAATCACAATACCTACGCATTTTGACTCAGCAGATTATTTGCAGATGAGATCTGAGGAGAGGGTGGGGGCCAGGCGTGCAAGTCCCTTTTCCCGGAGGCAGGAAAACTGAAACCTCCAGGAAATGCCAAATTGGTGTACTGTAAACTTCAGAGAGATTGCATCAGACTCAGAACAGGAGCAGTACTAAATTAGAAAAATAAAAAAACACCCTTGCCCTCACCCCCACCCAGGCTGCCCATAATGTTTGGTTTGGCACGAAGTCTGCGTCTGTCAGACAAAGTCCCTGTGAATCTTCAAGCCGAAAAAGGGACCATTTCCAGCTTGAACCAGTCTAGCAGGAGTGAGATCATGAGAACAAGCCAGGGCAGAGTAACCAGGCAGGAGGACACCCATCGCTGCTCTTGCCCATTAATTGCTCAACCTAACAGAGCAGTATTGGCTGAAAAGAGCTGCCCTGAGTCCAAATGGTTCTGTGAAGACATCTTTTAGAGCAAAGCCCCCCCCCATCTTGACTTGCAGCCAACTCGGCTGCCATGGAACAAACATGGCCAGAGCAAATATTTGCATACCCGAATGTTTGGTTGACAGAACTCGGGGGTTTTGTAAAGCAAATCATAGAGCCAAACATTAATCAGAGATATGGGTACCACGCTGGAGCCAGGCATACGGGCTGTGTGTCCCTTTTCCTCTTCCCCAGTTTTGTGTTCCTAGAGGGAGGGTAGACAAAACATTGTTTGTAGGTTGTGCGCAGACCACCAGAGCGTCTACTGTGGCCTCCTGTCCAAACCCCCCGTAACACAGATTTTTTTTTCAGCATAAAAATGGCCACTCAGACCCAGCAGTTTCTAGAAGGTGGAAAAGGCCAGCAATGAAGTTTCTGGCATAAAGACTCAATGGCATGCTTCCTGAAGAACAGAGGAAAATAACAAAAAAAGGACCAGAAGAAAACAGGAAGATGGGATTGTCCAATGCCTGTGGTGAGTAAAGCTTTGTCCGTCAAACTAGTGTCAACTACGCTAGCAAGGTTACGCTCAAAATCCTCCAAGGTAGGCTTCAGCAGTATGTGGACCAAGAACTCCTAGAAGTACACGCTGGATTTGGAAGGGACAGAGGAACTAGAGACCAAATTGACAACATGCACTGGATTATGGAGAAAGCCAGAGAGTTCCAGAAAAACATTTACTTCTGCTTCATTGGCTACACGAAAGCCTTTGACTGTGTGGACCACAGCAAAGTATGGCAAGTCCTTAAAGAAATGGGAGTGCCTGACCACCTTATCTGCCTCCAGAGCAATCTATACGTGGGACTTGACGCGATAGTTAGAACTGGATGTGGAACAACTGATTGGTTCAAAATTGGGAAAGGAGTATGACAAGGGTGTATATTGTCCCCCGGCTTATTTAACTTCTATGCAGAATACGTTGTGTGAAAGGCAGGACTGGATGAATACCAAACCGGAATTAAGATTGCCGGAAGAAATATCAACAACCTCAGATATGCAGATGATACCACTCTGATGGCAGAAAGTGAGGAGGATTTAAAGAACCTCTTAATGAGGGTAAAAGAGGAGAGTGCAAAAAACGGTCTAAAGCTCAATATCAAAAAACCTAAGACCATGGCCACTGGTCCCATCACCTACTGGCAAATAGAAGGGGAAGATATGGAGGCAGTGACAGATTTTACTTTCTTGGGCTCCATGATCACTGCCGATGGTGACAGCAGCCACGAAATTAAAAGACGCCTGCTTCTTGGGAGGAAGGTGATGACAAACCTAGACAGCATCTTAAAAAGCAGAGACATCACCTTGCCAACAAAGGTCTGCGTAGTCAACGCTATGGTTTTTCCAGTAGTGATGTATGGAAATGAGAGCTGGACCATAAAGAAGGCTGACCGCCGAAGAATTGGTGCTTTTGAATTGTGATGCTGGAGGAGACTCTTGAGAGTCCCCTGGACTGCAAAGAGATCAAACCTATTCCATTCTGAGGGAAATCAACCCTGAGTGCTCACTGGAAGGACAGATCCTGAAGCTGAGGCTGCAGTAATTTGCCCATCTCAGGAGAAGAGAATTCTCCCTGGAAAAGACCCTGATGTTAGGAAAGAGTGAAGGCAAGAGGAGAAGGGGACGACCGAGGACAAGATGGATGGACAGTGTCATTGAAGCTACCAACATGAATTTGACCAAACTCCGGGAGGCAGTGGAAGGCAGGAGGGCCTGGCGTGTTCTTGTCCCATAGGGTCATGAAGAGTTGGACATGACTTAATGACTAAACAACAACAACAAAAGAGAAAATAGAGCATGCCTGCTCACACTGAACCTTGCTGGGAGGGAGGGCAATGGATAACCTGCATAATTAAATTGTAAGCCGTTCAGAGAGTGCTTTGAGTATTCTGGGTCAGTATATAAGCAGCCCACTTTGATCTACATGCATGGTTGTAATTTTTTCAACTGGTCTCTCAACAATTAACTACAATTGGCTGTGGCAAGTTGTTCAGACCTTGCACACACACCAGAAGGATTCTGAGCCTTGTATTTCGTACCATAGGCAGTGGCTTGCAACCTTCCAGTGTTGTCGTTTTACAGTAATTGAGATGTAACTATTTAGCCACTGACAAGAAACACAAAATTAAAGAATTACCTTACAGCTGTCACTGTATCAGTCACAAACTACTTGGCCATAATACTGTGTCTAATTTATTATCTTTTTAGTAATAACTTTCCAACCTCTGAAAAAATGGCAGGAGTCAGAATACACAGACCAAAACCTCACCTCCAGAGAGAACACTGTCAGTACTGCATCCTTTGACTGTCTCTCTCCCAGCCCAAAAAGTACCTCATAAAGTTCTTGTGAAGTGAGATGTGACGGTGAGACAGAAGAAAGTGTTTTAACAGGAATTCCAGAGGAGTATTGCTGCTGTGAAGCTTAAACAGAAGACAGCACAAGTGATATTAAAGGAGCTGACAATATGTAATTCCCAGCTAACTACTTTTCAACTGTTGCTTGATCAATGCAAGCCCCAGCTGTATATGGACAGTATTTGAAGTTAGAAAGTGGAACCCTATATATCTGTCTATCCATCTGTATTATCGATAGCATTTAAACAACAACACCACTAATATCAAGAAATTTCACACAGTGTTATAAGCAATTGCAGATTCCAAAAATAACATCAACAGAGCTACAGAAAAACAGATATTTTAGGAACAGTATATATACCGTATTTTTCTCACCATAAGACACACTTTTTCCCACAAAACAGGGGGGTGGAAAGTCTGTGCGTCTTATGGAGCGAAGAAAACAGATTATATTTTCCTGTTTTCTTCTCCTAAAAAATTGGTGCATCTAATGGAAAGGTGCGTCTTATGGAGCTAAAAATACGGGACTATGTTGATATTTAACATATACTTAGGTTTTTTGTTAAAATTGTATTTGTTATGTAGTACCAGTCCATATTTTTATAATTTTGAGTGACTGTGTGCCTGGTATATTGTTGTTGCCGCTGCTGTAAAGCCATTTCCAACTTACAGAGCCCCTCTCAGGAGTTTCTAAACAGAAACTACTCAGAAGTGGTTTACTAGCCTCTTCTTCTGGTGACCCTCTGGGACAGCGACCCTTACTCAAGGCCACAGAGGTGGCAGGGCACATAACGTCAGCTGGCTAGTCTCTTGGAAAGCATAGGGATGAAAAACACCAGCCCCTGGTGCCCCAACTCACTAAGAGATGCCAGCTATTCCCCCCCCCTCAAAAAAAAAACCCACAACCTGCTCTACTCTGAGTACCTTAAGATCTCGGCCTGTTTAAATCTGTGATTACGTGGATTTCAGTAATAAAAGCTACAGTATTTCCATCATTCCTTCAGAGAAATCCAATGACAGGATTTCCTCAGAAAGATGTGCCTTAGTGTTCAGACCTTCATATGTATTTACCTTTCCATGATCAAACAGAAAAAAAAACCCACAACCTGCTCTACTCTGAGTACCTTAAGATCTCGGCCTGTTTAAATCTGTGATTACGTGGATTTCAGTAATAAAAGCTACAGTATTTCCATCATTCCTTCAGAGAAATCCAATGACAGGATTTCCTCAGAAAGATGTGCCTTAGTGTTCAGACCTTCATATGTATTTACCTTTCCATGATCAAACAGAACAGAAGCGTTCAGACCTGTATTTACCTTTCCATGATCAAACAGAAAACAAGCACACTAAATGCAAAATATGTAAGCGAGGAAAAACACATGCTATGCCAAGAATTGTTTCATCACCTGAAGAAATACTGTTTCTAAATACGTGGTAAGCATGCAACAAAATTTGATATAGGGTCCCCCCCCATAGTTGCCCCATGGCCAACTGGCCCCTTGTAATCAACCCTTTTGGTGATGAACTAATTTACATTTAGCAAGTCAAGGTGGTCCTCAGGTGGGAGACCTGGCACAACAACATTTATGTCCCACCCCACCAATGGTGAGGATGATGATGATTATTTATAAAATCCACCCATGCTTACTGTATTTAACATTGTGTCACCTGGCTTCAGCTTATAATCATTTGTTCTTAATCTATACATTGTGCTTCTAACCATTGATAAAACAAGTTCCATGTTTGATAATATTCTGTATCTTCCTTTCCTTTGATTTTCAGTGTCAGTCTATCCGTTTCAGCGCAGTCCAATATCTTTTCAATTATTTCTTGATCTCTGGGTGTTTCTTCCTTTTTCCAGTATTGTGCAAAAATAATCCTTGCGCCTGTTAAAATATGCAGTATTAAATATACATTTTGTTTTTCAACACTTTCAGGTATTATACCTAATAGAAAGAGTTCTGGCTTAAAATGTACATGTTTTTGATTATTTTAACAAGCCATATATGTATTTTTTTCTATTTATTTTTTTTTTGCTTTATCACAAAAATAAACCTTACCCTCTAAGTAAAGGTGCCCTCTGTTTCAAAACCAGCCCACTACAAGTCCAGTTGCCTAAGAAGAAAACAATGCAGGGCTTTTGAAATTGACCAGGTATGTCAGGACACCTAATCACTGTCTTACCCATTGCAGAGAAATCCATTTCTGTTGAAATGCTGGTGTGTTTGTTTGTTTGTTTGTTTGTTTATGTGTGTGTGTGTGTGTGTGTGTGTGTGTGTGTGTTTGTTTGTTTGTTTGTTTATTTATTTATTTATTTATTTATTTATTTATTTATTTATTTATTTAGTGTTGCATTTCTATGTAGCCATGACGCCAGGGTGTGAACCTCCAGCTTCACTAAATATCCATCTGTCTGGCCTGCCAGAGGAGAAGCTCAATGGCCATCGATCTCACCTGGCTGTTTTTGTCCAGAGGATGCTCTTATTTCTTGGCGGAGACTATGGAGGATGGGAGAAGAAAGCTGAAGAAGGTACCTCTGTACATGTGCATGCATGTCCACCCCATCAGACACTCACTTCTTTTGTCCCAGCTTCTCTCAGGTGAGGAAGGAGGGAGGTGGTAAATGTGCTCAGTAGGTGCTCAGCAACTATTCTTAGGACCTTGGCATTCTCAGCCCTCTCAGAGGCAAAGCATTTCCCAAGACGTCAGTTTCTTGAAGGAGTGTTCTTGCAGGTGGCAAAACATGTTTCTAACTGTGAAAACATGTTAAGAGAAGCAGATTGTTTCTGGAATGCAATCAATGGCTTCCGTTGCAGTTCTAATTTCAAGAGTGTGCATTGCAAAGCAGATCACATCACATCACTGGAGAGAAAACATTGTAGCATTCTACTGAATGTGCATTTTGGGCCTCAACCTTTGGTAGGCTGTACACTTGTCCGGTCAGTAGAACCCTCACTAGTCTTGGAAACTGAGCGCCAATGCATGCATAGGCAGTGAACCCTCCTCATGCATGTGTTTTCTAATTAACCACTTACCGATATGCAGGTTTCTGCTCTAAAAGTCTCACTATACCTCCACCTTCTCCAAATTAGGTTGTTATTGTTGCTCTCCTTCGCTAGGGAGAATTAGCTTCCTATGGGGCCTCCACAATGGCCACTAGCAATTCTGCATGCATGGAAGCCTACCATAGAGGCTTCTGTATTTAAGTTAGGCACTTTTTTTCCTGCACCAGGGGCTTCTGTAGTTACGCTAAGCACCTTTCCTCCTGCACTATCCCCAACTGGATTTATCATATCCTCTTTCTTCCTGCTCCCATTGCCACTTTCCAGAGTAGTTACTCTTGTTCAGTAGTTGCAGACCCAACAATAAGTTGTTTCCCTTATAAAAATACTTAATAATCCTATCACGCGATACAGGGACTAGTCCAGCTGAGTACTGAAAGGTTTATCACCAGAATGTTTACCCCAGAAAATAAATTGGCCCATGTAACCACAATAATGACAGTGAAAACATGGACCTTTGAGGTAATATTTAACCCAGGATGATGCAATAAAACATCTTCAAGGTAATTGATAACCTAATGTGCTGTAATATATAACTCTATTTTTAAACCCAGTTTATTTTTAATTCCCTTTAGATTTGATTTTACAGGGGGAAAAACATTTTTTGTGGTGTCATGTCAAAATCCCTGATGTCGTTCAGGCACAATGTTATTATTAGCGTCACGTCTTATCCTAAAGTGACCGTTGCTTTGGATTCATCCTTTGCAAATAGTGGAAATTGTGCTTAGCTTTTCAAGGTGTTGCCTCAGTGTTTGTGTACTAGACAGAGCATTGGACCTGGGAGGGGATGCTTGGCTTCAAATCACTAGTGAGGCTTACTGAGGCCAGGACTAGCTCCCCATAGTGAACAATGCGCATTAATGTTTTAGATGGTTGTAACGATAATCATGTGCTGTCAAGTCAGCTCTGACTCATGGCGACCCTTTGCAGGATTTTCCAGATAGAGACTATTCAGAAGTGGTTTACCATCCCCTCCTTCTGGAGGCGCCCCGGAACTGCGCAGCTTGCCCAAGGCCACACAGGCTGGCTCTTCCCCCCTGGAAGCACAGCGGGGGATCGAACTCCCAACCTCTGGCTCTACAGACACATATATCCAGCTGGTTGCACATAATGTAATTCAGAAATGTAAGACTGGTAAAATGAGATACAGAATTTGAATGTGATTATTATCACCATGTCCCCTTAATGTATCACCTCTCTTTATGTTCTTGTATACTGTAGGCTCTGAAGAAGGCCATGAACTGTTCACCCTAAAATGTTTTGACCAGGTTTTAAATTGTAATAAAAGCGGTACTTTTGTACACATCCTGAAACTCCAGTCTCTTTTTAATAACTAGATCTACTGGATGTTACCACTTTGTTTTTTGGGTCCTATATGCAGCAGTTAAAGTATTTTCATAATAGAGATAGTAGGAGTAATCAAGACAAAAATAAAAGAAAGGGCATCTCGTTTGTTTATTCTGCTTGCTTCGTGACGAGATGTATAATGGAAAACGGCAGGGTCAATCAACGCTGCTATTTAAGTTGCAGAGCTCAGAATACACTTTTTATACTACAACTCCTAGAATCCTTGGAGGGCATGCTGACTGGGGATTCTGGAAGTTGTAGTACAAAAAAGTAAAACTCCCAAGTGCTCTCCAGGCATGACTCCTTCTAAGGAAGAGTGGGCAGGCAGGTTCACCTATTATCTCTCTAGCTTTTTGCAAGAACATCTTGGCCCACCTCTAAATCTTAATTTCCTATTGATGGATCTTCTGGATCTTCTACTTCTCTCACGGCAGTGTTTGTAGATAGGTTCCTTCTACAATATAGCTAGTTCAGACATACTACAAACTAAACACTGGTTCAAGCAAAAAACAAAACAGTTCAATCTGAGTAAAGTTCAAGGCAAAAACTTTGTTTAGCTGATCTGCATCTCCACTTCCTCCTGGCATATGCTTTTGTAAGCTCAGCCTCAGTCTTATACAAACAGGAAGACGTGGTTATGCTGACAATACTTAGTGTGAAATGATTGTGCTGAGATGAACTTGAAGCAAGCAGATGTAGATTTTGCCTGGGCTTGTTCCTAGCGATTGTAACAGAAGCTGTACTAATGGAAGAAGTTCTGAAAATCCTCCTCACTCCATTCCTGATGTTCATGAAAGACAGACCCAGAATGAATCCACATTGGGAGGGCAGTGCGGTATAAGAGGTGCCTCTAAATACGCACACAAAATAAATGACAATGGTATGTTAGAGAAATACACTTTTAAAAAATGCTCTTGAGTTGTTCACTTTACCTCCCATTTCCCTGCCCAACAATGCCTATTAGCATTGGACAGAGCATTCCAGATAGAAGTAATCTTCATGCTTGTTACCATTTTACAGACGAGAGAACTGAGGCTTAATTGATCTGTGACCAAAATTGGAGTGATGGAACAGACATCTTCTGGATTTAATCAAACATTCCATTCCTCAGCTTTGAAGAGATTCAGAAAATCCCTGCTGTGATAAAAGGGAGAATCCTAAAATTAGATATGGGTCATCCTGCCTTCATGCCTGTTGGGGCGGTCAACCGCTTTCTACATATATTCTAGAGAGCCCACCAAGATAAAATTTCCACACATGAAGATCACAATTTAATATTTAAGTATAACAATTATGCCATCTTCTCTTGCATTTATTGGTTTATTTATTTTTTTATTAGCAAATCGTCTGCATGAGAGAGTGCAAGCAGATAGGTATTTGTTCCACTGTTTGGTCTGATGACCTCATTGCTAGAGCAAATTAACCTTTCCCCAGACCATTCCTACCCACACTTTTCTGATGTCACGATCCAGGATATCCCAGGCAGCTTCACACCATGGGCAAGGGCACCAGGACCCAGTCCACCACACAGAGTATCAAGTCCCAAAGCGCTCACTGGTCATGACTAAGCAGAGGCGGGAGCACAAGACTGAGAACACAGAGCAGGAACCAGGCACAGAGATGTAGGGAACGATGCAGGGACAGAAACAGGAACAGATGCAAGAACGCCAGAACTCTGTAGCACAGGAATGGGCCAGCAAGGCAGTACACACAGCCAAAAGAGTTTTGTTGCTGAGGTAAGTTCTGTGAAGGAGAACCACTGCTTAAATAGGCCATCCCTCCAGGCCTCCAGGTGTGCCTCATGAGTAGCCCCAGCAGCTCCTACACAGGCCAGGGTCTGAGCCTGCAAACACCAGGCCACTCCTGGCTCAGCTTGGCCCTGATCCTGCAGCTCCCAGGGTGGTACAGACCAGATCCTGAAATCTGGTTCCTTATGGAGGGTTACCCTTTTTTTTAGGTGCAGGTAGGATTTCTTCATTTTGGTTTGTTTCCTGTATGTACGATCACTGGGATTGAACCAAAGCATCTGTGTCTTTGAATTTCCCAGTATTGTTGAATGACTTAAGAAGCTTAACCACTCCACAATGTTGCAAAATTAAACACTTCCTCTGATCCTCCATGGAGAGGCAGAGGAAGGAAGCAAAAGTGTTTTTTAAGTCTGTTGGAACAGCACTGATGTGGTATATCACTTAGGAAAAAATAACAATCAAATTTAAAACTTCCTCCCAGGAGGAAGAGGGGGCAAGAAGGGAGATTTTTTGTTGTACTTGTTGATTTCTTCAGGGAGGTGGGCCAGACAGGGTCAACTTGAAGTATGTACGCCATTTGGATACAAGGATCATACCAAATGGCATAGTGGATCTCTACCCAATGTCAAGTGACTCTATTTAGCCTGCTACAATCCACTCCAATTGAGCCGTGTGGACAAGGCCAGAGTATATGTATGTGAAAGAGAATCAGATTGTAACCTGGAAGAGTCTTTAATCTTTTGAACTTGATGTATTCCCAATCAGAACTGGAGGTTTTCATATAGCCTGTAATGAGACAGCTTACCATAAATTAAAAACCATAACAGCTAAAAGCAGAATATTACATAATTACTTCACTTAGCATATTAAAACAGCTATCCAATAAAAGACTACTAAAAACCCCTAGAAAAGCTCCTATCGACTTCATCCTGATTAGAAGGAAGGCACATTAACCCTTTCCCCATCTCATATTTTGAGCCCTGCTCGGCACGCCAGCCTAGGCCAAGCCAAACTGTTTGGAGAAAATTAAAGTACAAGACAATTTTTCCATTTGGAAAAAGGTCATCCTGGTTTAATATAAATGCTTGGTCCTTCCTCACTTTTCTGATGAAGAATTTAGTACAGGAGGAGAATCATACTTTCAGTGTCATATTGCAACGCTGCTGGAGATATTCAGGTGGATGAGATGGAAAAATACCCAATCCACTAAGTCCCACCCTCATCAGGTGGATGAGGTGGAAAAATACCCAAATCTACCCAGTGGTAAACACATGGTTATGTAATACTGTATCTGACCACTGCTGCCTGCTGCCTGAGGCAGCTTGCTACTCCCATCATTTAGCTCTAACAGCAGCACTGGTCTGGGCCTACCCAGTTACTATTTAACCAGTTGGGTTACATTTTAAATAATGGCCATTCCTTCACTTCTGGCCTTGTTAGTTAGCCGTCAAAACTTCGTTAGCACAATAAATACTTGTCTGTTGTCCTGAGGGTGGAGGTCATAAGAAACCCACTTATGCTGATATAATACAAAAGTGAATCCCCAGAAACTTGCTCAACAGTGGAGAGACTGAGGCAGACCATGTTAAGCATCTAAAACAACCCTCAGAAACGTAGCTTGGAAACATTCTCTTGCCTTTTTTTAAACTACAGCTCCCAGAATCCCCAGCCAACTGTCACTAATTATGAGGGGTTTTGGCTGTCGTCCAAAAAAAAAAGGAATGTGTCCTTATTCTACTCAGAGTCTACATTTTTCATGTTGTTCCACCTTTTCTGGCCACTCCTGATGGCCATGGTGCTGTCCCCTGGTTAATGGGGCTAACTCAAGGCATTTTACTGACTGAGGTAAAGGGTACGATGGTGCCCCTCCTGCCATTCTGCACAGAGACCAGCAGCCTGGCAACTTAGCCTTATTTCAGTACTAGTGATATGACAATATTTTCCAGTGCACCTGAAAGCACTAGGTTAGTTTGTGGTGTCGGGCGGGCTGCATAGCACTCAAGCTGTATCCTACAACCTCATTCTTCCCTCAGGATCTGCCATCTGAGGGAGGAGCCCCCCTCTCCCTAATGGTAGGGCCGGTCCTGCTGTCATTTTTACCAGTTGCTATGACTTATTTTGTCTTCATCATCTAGAATCCTAGGGTACCTGGGAGTTTTAACCAGTAATTTTTTGGTCTGCAACTTGCCTCCACTTCCGGAGATTTCTCCAGATGTGGCCCCTGGCACAATCTCCTTGGCTTTTGTGCCAGTCCCACTGAAGTTCAAGGGAACAGACTGTGCAGGCTCAGCTCTCCAAAAGCTAAGTTCCTGCAGATTAGATGTTTTAAAGAAACACACTTCTCCATGTGCGTGGTTTAATCTATATATTCACTAAATTTTCTTCCTAACTTTTCCAGAACAGACAGAATTCTAGCTCCTGTCCTCTGAAGATGCCAGCCAGAGACTGGCAAAATGTTAGGAAGAAAAACCTCCAGAACATGGCCAAATAGCCCGAAAAACCCACAACAACCATCAGATCCTGGCTGTGAAAGCTTTCGAGAACACATTATGCTTATATCCCTTATTTGTTATTTAGAGATCTCTGAATCACAATTATTGTGTCACTACAGCTATTGTCTTTTAGTAGAGCAGAACACTTCAGAAACCACATTCTAGCAACCTTTTCTCAGCTGCTATTTTCTAAATGTGTGGGACCACAACTCAGTTCTGTAGCACAAAACACCCGGCAGAGGATTGCCACGTTCGAGAAAGCTGGACTGCATGAATCACCATCTGTAAGGTTAGAGATGGATCTCTTCAGGGCTTCCAAAAATATTGCATTATGTGATATGCGGAGTACAATGGCAGCAGGAACCACAGCTCAGAAATATTACTCCTTGGACTACAATTCCCAGAATCCCTCTCCCAATAGGACCCTTGAATTCTGGAATTTGTGGACCAAATATTTACTCTGGTAATAATCTAGCTACTTCTGACATAAGCCCAGAAAAGCAGCATCCAAAGAAATGAGTGAAAACATCATTCCTGGAGATCACCAACCAATGTTAGAACTCTCCCAATATGTGGGGGTTTAAAAGAGAAATGAGACTTTTAATTCTCTAGATGTTGTCACATTCAAACCCCCATGATCCTTTTAGTTGTGCTGGTTAGGCTGATGATACCTGCAATCTATTCATACAGTGGTTCCCAAACTTGGGTAACCGGTGTCTTTAAGATTGCAACTCTCAGAAACCACCACCACCAGCTGTGTTGGCTGGAGTTTCAGGAAGCTGCAGTCTGTGATCCTGTGTAATTCCCTTTTCTCCTTCCTCTGGATCCTGATGTAAGGATGACTTGGGGACACCACAAGTTGCTAACAAAACATCTTTATTTGGTCACAACTTGTCTATTTCAACATTGAGAACCGGGTCTCTCTCTTGCTTCAGATACATGTTGTTTTATCCTTTTGCATCAAACCATAACAAATCCCCTTTTAACAGTAGAGGTGATGAGCTTGTCTTTGTAAAGCCACTTCTGTGGAATGCCCAATTTATCGGGTGCACTTGCGGTCGACCTTATTGGGGAGGGTGGAACACCCAACCAACCTCTGGTCCCCAGACTTTCTTGCCCGGGTTTTGCCTCAACCTCGGGCGGAACGAGCTCGTCCCATGAGGTTTCTCAGGACGGTCTGGACATGGTCTGCTATCTCGTCTCTGGGCTTCCCGCGGCTGCCACTCCCTGAACTTTCGCCTCTCCGTCTCACCCCAATAAGATGGTTTCCTATAGACTTTCCTCTTCTACACCTTCTCCACATATTCCTTAAACACAGTCCACACACCCCCGTCCAGGGGTCTTCCTCCATTAATTCCACCCGATCCTTTTTCCTTTCATCTTCCTCCTCCTGTACCCCACAAGCTTCCCCCTCTTCCCGCTCCAACTGCCCCTCTTTTCCCTCCTCCTTTCCTTTTACCCCTTCTCTTTTTCCCACCAAAATAATGCCCTCTAAGTGGCTCCTTCCCCTCTTTTCCCTCCTGCCCCTGCTCTTCCATAGTCCCTTTAAGTCTTCTTTCAGGGTAGATATTTGTCTCTTGGTGTCTTTGATCAAGGAGGCGCACAGTACACTCCGAGGACTGCCTTTTGGGGAGCTCCCAAAAGTCCAAGAACACTTGGATTACCCAAAGTTAGGAACCACTTTATATTAATATCTAGAGAGTATCACTAGAGCCTACATAGCATACAAACAAACAAACAATGAGATGACAACAGGCTTTTCCAAGAGACGGTTTTAATTTTAAATAATTGTCCATGTAAAATGCCATCTCTGGTTCCAAAAGTCACTGGACTGAAAGCTGATTCCCAAATCTCTAATGCAGATGAAGTATTGTCAATTAAATGATATATGGCACAGATCTGATATATATGAAGCAAGAAGAGAGGCATTTTAAACAGTCATGTAGGACAGTGGTTCTTAACCTTTGTTACTCGGATGCTTTTGAACTGCAACTCCCAGAAACCCCAGTCAGGACAGCTGGTGGTGAAGGCTTCTGGGAGTTGCAGTCCAAAACCCGTGAGTAACCCAAGGTTAAGAACCAGTGATGTAGGATTTCTAGACATAGGAAGCAAAAGCCGAGACTTCAGCATCGTTAGGATGTCCCGAACTAAAGTGTAGTAGCACTGCATTTACAAATCTATAAATGCATTTTTACCTGAATCCAAGCAACTATTTTTAAAAGTGTGTGTGACATTTTAATTATTTTTGAAGACACACCAGGCTTTCCCCTTCTCTCTTGCTCTTACTCCTTATTGCACTTGGAAAGCAGGAAGCAGCTGAATTTTGGAGCTGAGAAAGTTTCAGAGGTTCTTTGTTTCCGCACAGAGGCCGGCTTGGAGTCCACCCAGATTCGCCTTGAATTTGGGAGTGCTTTTTGCATTCACTGATTGTAACAGGCTGCTCGTGGTTCTTAAAAAAAACAGCAGCCACCCACAGTCCAATTTCTGACAGAGTGGAAGGCGGAAACACCAAGGGCCCACAGCCAGGTCATAAATCCAACTATGGCAAAAGAGAAGCTGGGGGGAGTGGGCGAATGGGGATGAAGCAGCGGAAGTGTCTGGTGGGGGCTGCTGGGCCGGCGTCAAACGGGCAGGACCCAGTCACTGGTGACCCGGCCGTACTGCAGAGGGGCAAAAGAAACGTACATTTGGTCAGGTTGCAAGAGACGTACTGAACCTTTGGACCTCCAGGGATGTTTTGGCCTACAACTCCCATCAGCCCCTCCCAATTATACCCATGATTTAAGCACTTGGGGAACTGTAGTCTAACATTCAACATCCCCTGCACTAAATAATGAGACACAATAAAAACTGAACAGACCTACTCCTGTCCTGCAAACAAACCAACATAATAAATCTGGAAAGTAACTTTCCCAAGTTCTGTTCCCTCACTTGCTGGCAATAGAATCCCATTGAGTGAATGGGCACCAGAGATCACAAACAGATCGTCCTGCCTCCTTTGATGCCTTCCAGCATTTTTCAACAAAGTTAGTTCCAACACATAACAGCTGGAGGGCATAAAAAAGCCATACATCCATGAATCTACAACAAGTAAGGCACTGGCTTCCTCCTCAGAAAGACGATCTTCTCACCTGATTATCAGTCCTAGAGCTGGTATCCCCCACTGTTCCCCAGGGAATTGGGGAAGGGGGGCGCTGATCCCTTTATCTTTCAGCTTTCGAAGGAAAATGGAAAACTCTATTTGCACAATTAGAGCAACTTCATGGGGCTACTCTGCCCCCTTGTGGCCCAAAGTGGGAATCGCAGGCAGGACAACCAGCTTTCCTTGTCCCCCATCCCCACTACACAGTTGTCTTCAAACTGAAGCTCATTTCCTTTCCCTGCTGGCCTTACCTGAATATCTGTCAGCTCTTTCAGAAACCGTTTTGCAATCACAGGTCCATTTTCCATTGTAGGGATATGGTAATTCTGAGCCAAGAGAGAAATAAATCCATCATGAACGGGGGAGGTGGGGTGCGGGGAGAGAGACATGCTTTGAAGGGTCCAACCCACCATCACCATCTCTGTGTTGAGATTCTCACCTTGCCCTGATAGAGGATTCTGTTCACAGGGCAAACAACACAGGCCGTGCCAGAACCAAACACTTCCTTGACTCTGTTCTCTTCCAGCCCTTTGATCAGCTCGGCCATTGTCACAATGCGCTCCGAAACTCTGAATTCCCCCTGAGTGGAAAGAGTTTCAACCATTTGTTTAAATCCTAATCTTGGTTCTTGTTGGTCAATAATAAAACAACGGCTGAAATCCTGTTGAGTAGTTACACAAACAGTGTAGCTTTTAGAGGCAAACGGCCATAAATTAAGAAATCTTCGTAGACCTTTCTCTGTTACACACCAAGTCAGGCAACCCCATATGCAACAGGGAAGGATTGATGGAAATTAGCTAACTTATAACAACTTGCTTCCAAAAGTTACACCATTTATGTGATGGTGCAACAGGATTTCAGCCAAAGATAGGAACATTAATATTGGAAGGGCCATACTTTAGGGATCAAGTACATGCTTAAGGGCCCAAAAGGGGATTCAACTAGGGAGCAACATATTCGACTAGGGCTGAGAAATATCATTGCCCGAAAACCTGTTGGACTATGTTATTCAATGGAAACAGATAATTCAGTGTTCTGAATATGTCTCAGGATGTTTCTAAACCAACTAACTGAATTTAGGTCTATATTCAGAACCTTGAAGAATCTTATGCTGCATTTAGGGCAAAGACCATAGTGCAACAGTAGAGAAGCATTTTCAAACAGGGCTAAGAAAGACTACACTCAAACCTTAGAGAACCATAGCTACTGATCAAACTAGACAATACTGAGCTACAGAAATCAACGTTCTGACTGTATAAGGCAGCTTCTTCTGTTTCTAAGTCTATTAATTGAACTCACCCAATCCCCTCTCTAATTTAATAAAGAGGAGGGGGAGAAAAAATAAAATTAGGAAAGCACCAAGATTTTCATTTAAAAAAGCTCAGGCTTAGAAAGAAAACTTAGATCCATTTCAATGCCATCCCAAGCTTCCGTTCACCTTCACGCTCACCCATTTACGTGACAACTCTAGGAGGCTCTGACGGATCACACCAGGCAAGATTATGCCGTTCAAAGGTGGGGTAACAAGCTCCAGATCTGGAAACAGAAGTAGCTGTTAAACATACATAGGTTTGAGCTTCGCCACAAAATCCTCTTGAAGGATCAAGAGAGCACAGAACGCTGTACTCAGAACATCCCTCTGTTCTCTAAAAAACATCTTCCTCCATTTTTAAGATGAATGATCTATAATTTATCATTATAATCTTCAAACTGCAGAGCTGGAAGGGACCCTATGGATCATCAAGTCCAGCCCCTCTCAAGGAGGGACTTGCCTCTTTTACAATATTACTTACAGTCTGCAGTTTTTAGGATTTGTATTACAGGCAATAAAATGTTTTAAAATTTATTGAACAATTAACCAAGAGTAATTTTAGTGGAACACAATTACTTGTAAGCAATGAACTAATTGCTTGATGAGACCAGGGCTCAGGAATCTTTTGCAGACTCCAGAAGTTTTGGACTACAGCTCCCATTTCTGCCATTTGCTATGACGGCTGGGGCTTCTGGGGCCAAAGTCCAAAACATCTGGAGGGCTAAAGGTTCTCCACCTCTGGACTAAACATCACTGTAGCAACTCCAACCAATATATCACCCACATACACACACACACACACCCCAAATCACACCGAAATTGAGTTCCTCACCACCCTGGTGGTCTTTCCAAAAGATGAAGATGTTCATGGTCCCAACTTCAGTGATCTGGTGGTCTTCCCCGTAAAGCCACAGCACCTGCTGGCAACCCTCCTTGGCAGCAGCATTCTGCACATAAATGGTGGGGCCATAGTTGCTAAAGGTGACACAAGAGCAGGACAGGACTGGGATCAGATATGAAAGCATCTGTAAGCAGTAAGGGGAAGCAGAGTCAAGTCTCTGCTAGAGAGCATGGAGGGAAAGAGAGGAAGCAGCATGAAAGTATTACCCCTGGGCAGAGGTACAGCATCCACCTTGCCTTTGATCCCTAGCATCTGCTGTCAACCTCCCAATCTATACCAGGATAAAACCTTTAGGGGGGCAACAAGAAGTGCACAGACAAGGGGTCCATCCAGCTGAATTGGGTCCCATATAGGAAGCAGGCAAGTCATACGTGAAAGGAATAAAATAAATAATGAAATTTTAAAGAGTGAAAGTTTTAGAGATCCTGTATCTCTTCTTTAGGCAAGATATTACAAAAATAAGCAGGGCAGAACAAAGGACGGGAGAGTAGAGGTCCAGTCTGAAGGCCATCTCAAGCCATCATGTGTGTTATATGGCTTCCTCTGCCCACATGCTTTACCATTCCACTCCCATGTTTTTTTCTCTCTCCCCTCCCCTTGATAACATCTTACTAAGGAAGAGATCAGTGATCCCAAAAGCTTGTGCCCTTTTTTGTGCCTTTCTGGTTGGCTTAACACTATGGATTTGTTTTATAGCCAGCACGGCTACACCAGCTTTTGGTTCATCCCCAGCATATCAAACACCCTTCTTCGTAAGCTTTCTTTTGAGAACTACTACCAGCCAATAAGGTTAGGAAGTGCTGGGCTACAATGCCAAGGAAAAAAGGGAGCTACACAGAATACTGCAATGTGTTGTATATGGAAATGCCTTTAAAATCATTTGGAAAATGTACTTATGTCAAAATACAGCTGGTCATATTCTGGCTTTATCTTCTAAATTAAATGGCTTCACGATTATGCATTGTCCTCCCCAAAGAAGCTCATCCAGAAGCACAGTTATCATTTTTCTATCAAAGGCAAAGACCTTTTTATGGCCACAAACAATTTATTTACCGAAATGATGTCTGTATTTTGCTCTGAGCATCAGTTTAAAATCTGAATGTTGCTGTGTTTTAATTTTTAAAATGTGTTAATTTATATCCTATCTTGTGTCATGTTTCTTCTCCTTCCCCCTTCTATACCCAGCAGGCAAAGAGCTTTCTGTTCAGGCAAGCTTTCCATTAATAAATGGTGGTCTGAGAGGGGTTTTTAAATGAATGGTAGTTAGTGCTCTGTTGTTTTAAATTTGTTTTAGTAAAGATTTTATTGATGTTTTTTATATGTGTTAAAATTTTAAAAAAATATTTCTATACCTACTGTTTCTAGCTTCTACGTATTGTCTTTTTAATGATGTAAGCTACCTTGGGTTCTTTTAAGGAAAAAGGCAAGATAAAAATATTTTAAATACAGTGGTACCTTGGTTTACGAATTTAATGCATTCTCCAGGATGTTTCATATTGCGAAAAATTCGTACACCGAAATGCAGTTTTCCATAGGAACGCATATACGGGGGTGATGCTATAACCCTCCCAGGTACAATGCTTGCTTCGTATTGCAAAAAAAAATTCATAAACCGAGGCATTATCTTCAATGGATTTCCACAACGTGGAATGGTCTTTCCACAACGTGAGTGCCTTGCCTTTCAGCTGCTTGGGACTTCAGGTTCCATCAGCTGTGGCCTGCCTGACCAGTCAGTGTGGATGATGGGAACCAGAGTCTGAAACACGTAGAAGGCATGCACAAGAAGGCAACCCTGCAGTGAAGGAAGTGTACAAAGCCAAGGTTCAAATGCACTGGTGCCTTTACTCACCCTCCCAGCTTGGAATCGCCGACTCCACCTATCCAAGCACGGATAAAGCAGGGATCAGCAAGAAGGGAAACGGGGCTGAAGCTGCCTGTGGCAAAATAGGGGCCTACAGGACACAGGATCACGTACAGCAAGGCATGGTTGGATATGGCGACCCCCAAGGAAGGCTGCAGGAGGAGAAGCACAAGATGAAGTGTCTGGAATATGGCTTGGACTACAGCTCCCAGAATTCCTCAGTATGGCTTGTGGGGAGAAGTGACTTTTTCTAAACTCTGGAGTGACAAGACATCAGCAGTCAAGCAAAGCGAGGACTCAGCAAACTGTACTTTGAAGAAGAAACTAACATTTCATTCGGGGCTACAAGCTGAAGAATCCCTACTAGAGGCGGGTACCTACTGTGATTCAGTGGATTGGGCCCACAGGTGTTGTGTAGGCGCCCTGTATTCTGTGCCCTGCCTCTTCCCGTGGATGCCCCACCAAAAGCAGCATTGTGGACTTCCCTGCCCTGCCTCCTTCCTTTAGGGGGCACCTGTGGAAAAAAACAGGGTGTGGAATCCAGAGTGCGTGCGCAACACCTGTGCACATGAACTGGGCCAAACCGTGGTAAGTGTCCATCTCTAATTCCTAGCTGAAAGCATTCTGGGAGCTGTAGATCAAAGAAGGAATATTTCAAATTTTGGACAGAACAAGGAAGGAAAGTGCAGGAAACAGAAGCCTGAACCAATATTCCCTCTAATTTTCCAGAGCGCTGGTTGAGGCCTCCGCCCCGTTTGTGCCACGTTCCGGCCACAACCGGAAGCAAACGGGTGGCAACATCGGCTCAGCTGCGCGCACCTGATACAGTGCTGTGCAGCTGCACAGTTTAGAGGGAATGCTGAGCCTGAGCCATTACTAAATTCTGGGCCTTTGCCTTCCTCTTAATAAAACATTGTGTTATTCAGGATTTTGAAGTTGTACAGAGTGACAAGGGGGGGGAGTCAAAAGAACAGGCAGTTTCATGGGGGAACAGACCATCTAACTGCATCCTAAAAGAGCCAGCATCTGGAAAGGTAGTGACTCACTTCAGTGCCAATGAAGGTTGGCCGGATGTAGAGGCTGGCACTGTCGGAGTGGGGGACCCAGTCTTGCTCCACGTGGATGAATTGCCGGATGCATTCAAGTAGCTCGGCTTGGTTGAAGGACTGTAGAGAGAGTGAGAGAGAGAGAGAGAGAAAGGGGGGAAAGCAGCTACAGGGATGATGTCTCCTTTCATTCCCAGGCAGGTATGAGTGTCGGATGTGGATTCAGGAGATGTGCTTTCACATACTGGCCGAGCTATAAAACTCATCTGATAACTTGTCCTTGGGGGCCATATCTGAGCAGGATTCAAGCTTCAACCGCCCTTGCTTATGAGGGGGAAAGGGTCCCAAAAGGTTGCCCCAGGCAAAGAAATACCAAGAGCGCCATGTACTTACAGGCAGGCAAGAACGGAGAGCGGAACGTAACATGCGCTCCATGTTTAACATGGGACGAAAAAGCCGGATGCGCTTATCTGGTCCCCGGAAAGCCTTCATCCCCTCAAAGAGCTAGATGGGGTAGGAGGAGGAGAGGAAAAAGAGTCACATGGAAGAAATAGGCTCTTGATATTTGATGCAAAGTTTTAGGACAGTGGTTCCCAACCTTGGGTCCCCAAGATGTTCTTGGACTCCCAACTGCCAGAAATCCTGCCCAGCATATGTAATGGTGAAGGCTTCTGGGAGTTTAGTCCAAGAACTTCTGGGGACCGAAGGTTGGGAATCATTGTTTAAGGAGTTATTAGAAATCTGTGGCCTCTAGAAGACAGTGGCCCAGACACTCACTCCCCTTGTTCAACAGCTTCAGACATCCCCTAGTATCCCCCTCTCCACCTCCACATAACCTGCCACTACCACCTACTTCTCCAGCCCAGTGCCTTCCAGATATGCTGCCACCATTGGCTGTGCTGGTGGGGATGATAAGGCTGGTAGTTAAACACAAGAGAGGGGACCAAGGCTGGCCCATTGATTTGCAGTGAGCAATTCAGGCTCTCCCTTTTTTATGCACAAGTGCATAATATAAACGGGACATGTGAGGTGAGAGATGCTATTCCTACTTAGGTGGAATACAAGATATTTTCATTTATGGAAGATAACATCAAGAACAAGGGGGCACTGTAGCAAGAATGAAAAATAATCTGACATCTCAAACCAACATAATTCATTCTTCTTTTCTAACAGCCATTCTAACCACCAGTCTTTTAGTTGTGTTGTTCTTTTTCAATTTCTCCCTTCTCCTTGTCAAGATTGCAAGTGTTATACGAATAATTGCTTTAAAGGGTATTGAAATCATTGGTTTGTATTATGAAAAACATGGCAATGTGTTAGGTGGTGTTTGCAGATGCAGTGACATGCTTCCATTTACTTTACGTCCATGGGGTCACGAAGAGTCGGACATGCCAGTGACATGCTTTACTTCCATTTACTTTACATCCATGAGGTCACGAAGAGTCGGACACGACTTAATGACTAAACAACAACAACCTTTCATCCAGGCTTAACCGTGGACTTTCTCAGCCATTCAGGTTCATAGTTTGTAGAGATGTACTCTGTATCAACGAACAGGATTGATTCCTGTTTTGTCTATAACTCTGGAAACTACATTAAGGTGTTGCCTGGGTAGTGTAGATTTAAAGTGGTGAGGTCTGGCAGGGCAGTTGTTGTGGTACTTACGAGAGGTTGCTGTTGTTTTTTAATGGAGATAAATGGATTTGTTAGGGGCAGCCAGATGTAAGCTGGATTTCAATAACAGACTTCCCACACAATGGGAAAAAGTAGCATTTGTGGGGATCCTTTTCTGGGTGCCCCCTTTCTGATGGAGCCGTGGGTGTAGTTGTTGGAAATGAATCAGAAAAGTTTCATTTCTGAAACATTTGCTCACTCTGCATGATTAATATCTGTATTTCATCCCTAGCATTCATTACATTGTATCCGGTTAATCTCCTTCCTTAGTAACCGTAATTAGAAAAAAAGTTTTTGTTTATCTTGTTCGGAAATGAGTAACAGACCTCTTTACATATTTTTCCAAGTATGAAGGGTTCCAAAGATTATTGTGTCTGAAATATTTACCCATTTAATGTGTTAATATGCCAGGATCTATTGACTTGTTCAGCTTAACAGTTCTCTTTCTGGGTTGATTTCTCTTGTATTTATTTCCATATTCATAGTGTTAATTACTTGCTCAAAATTTAAAGAGATAGTGGTTTGTAAATGTTAATAAGTATCACATAACTATCTTCTAGGTAAAACAACATATCTTATGGTTAGGCACTAACCAGGTAAGGGATCAAAACTCAAATTAGATTTATTTATTTTTTTACTACCTTCCCTTCTCATACAGCCCAAGATACCAACCAGGGAGGAGATCAAACCTAAATTTCATTTAATTTTCCCATTTTTACCAACTTCCCTCCTTATGCAGGTAAAGACACCAACCAGGTAAGAGATCAAACCTAGTTTTGGTTTCTTTTTTCATTTTCACAACCTTGCCTCCTTATACAGCCCAAGACACCAACCAGGTAAGAGATCAAACCTAATTTTGTTTTTTTGTTTTTTTCATTTTTACCACCTTCCCTCCTTATCCAGGTGAAGACACTGACCAGGTAAGGAATCAAAATCAATTTGTGTTTATTTTTTCCATTTTAACTGCCTTCCCTCCTTATTCAGGTACAAACATTGAGAAGGTAAGAGATGAATACTAATTTTGGTTTATTTTTTTGCATTTTTACCACCTTCCCTCCTTGTACAGGAAAAGACACTGACCAGGTAAGAGATCAAACCTAATTTTGGTTGATTTTTTTCCATTTTTACCACCTTCCCTCCTTATGCAGATGAAGACATTGACCAGGTAAGAAATCAAAACCAATTTGTGTGTATTTTTTTCTGCTTTAACTGCCTTCCCTCCTTATTCAGGTAAAGATACTGAGAAGGTAAGAGATCAAAACTAATTTTGGGTTTTGGTTTGTTCTTTTTCTTTTCTTTTCTTTTCTTTCTTTTTTTGCCTTTTTACCACCCTCCCTCCTTATACAGCCCAAGACACTGACCAGGTAAGAGATCAAAACTGGTTTTGGTTTATTTTTTCCAATTTTATTGCCTTCCCTCCTGTGCTGTGATTTTTTTTTCTGTTTTGGTGTGGTTTTTTTCCCATCCCCATTGTGTTCGGGCTGGCTGTGTGTATGTGGAGGGTGCTTTTGTTTCCCCCCCCAGCCCCATGGCGTTCCGCCAGGACTGGCTGTGTGTGTGGGGGGGGTTGAGTGTTTTTCCCCAGCCCCATAGCATTCCGCTGGGGCTGGCTGTGTTTGTTTGTTTTGATGTGTTTGTTTTTTGGCCCCAGCACATTCCTATGGGGCTTCCAGTGTTTATTTTTATCTTAGCTTAAAAATTGAATTTCCTTTTTTCCTCTTTCAGTCTGCATTTGGTCCTGCCATTAGACAGAAGGGGATGGGTTTCAGAAGTCATATACTGGGGAATGGAACCGAATAGTGGAGTATTGGCTGGTAGAGCTCTTTGTGGTACATGGCGGGTCCTACATACAACTAAACTACATCAGCGCCTGAAGACAGAATTCTACTCACACTGAAGCAAAACTGCTCCCATTCAGTCCTTGGTGCTACACATGTTCTTTTCAACTACTGGGTGACAATAACAATATATTTTGAAATATGTTGTGTTCTGCCTACGCGGAAGAAACAAATATAAAATAGGCTTTGTTCTGTTCTACTA